GGGGAGGGAAATGGGAGGCGGGGAGGAGGCGGAAATCTTTTTATTTTCAATAAAAAAATTATATTTAAAAAAAAAAAGTTTGGTCATATTTTCTTATGAAGACATACAGAATATGAACCAAGTATCTTTCCTATGGTGGCGCATGCCTTCAATGCCAGCACTCTGGAGGCAGAAGCAGATTGACCTCTATGAGTTCCAGGCCAGCCAGGTGTATAGAACAAGTTCCAGGACAGCTAAGGCTACACAGAGAGAACCCTTTCTCAAAAAACAGCAAAAACAGAAAGTGGTGCTGGGGATATAACTCAGTGGGTAGAGAGTACTTGCATGCCACATATGAAGCCCTGAATTTTAGGTGGTAGTACAGCCTATAATCCCCTTAGGAGGTAAAGGCAGGGAGAAAAATTTCAAGGTCATCCTTGCCTACTTTGTGAGTTCAAGGCCAGCACGGCCTACAAGACAGCTTATCTTAAAAAAAAAAAATCAAAAACTTCAATGACACTATTTCTTAACTGGAAACAAGAATGACTAAAGGGGGCTGGAGAGATGGCTCAGTGGTTAAGAGCATTGCCTGCTCTTCCAAAGGTCCTGAGTTCAATTCCCGGCAACCACATGGTGGCTCACNAGACACGAAATAATTCTAGAACAAGAACTACCCAGAGGGTACTCCTCAGTTGACTGGGTGACTCCATGCATCCACATGGCAGTGTCCCTGATTCCTCAACGACGAGCATTTGTTCGTCCATGTCTCTCATATAGAGTTCTACTTGGACATACTTTATATGGTTATCTTTTATTTTTTTCATTTGCATGCTCTTTTGGAAACAGTAAAAGAAAGGACATTTTGTTTTTCCAATCCTAGCCAGATACCAATGCTTGGAGGGAGGAAGGGAAGGATAAAACAGGACCAGGAGAAGAGAGAGTGGAGGAGAGAAAGATTGAAGGAGGGGCAGAAAGGAAAGTCTGGAGAGAGGAAGTGATTGAGAAAGAGAAAGAGGAAACGGGGAAGGAAAGAAAGAAAGAAAGAAACATCTCAATGACTGTTGAAATCATAAAATGTCTAACAATAACTTTTTAAAACGTCTTTCATCAGGGCTAGAGAGATAGCTTAGTGGTTAAGAGTACATACTGCCCATCCAGATGGCCTGAGTTTGGTTCTGATGCCTCTGACCTCCAAAGATGCCTGCATTTAAGGCCACTTTGTCTCGATTTCTATCTCACTCTCTCAATATGTCTGTCTCTATGGCTCTGCCTCTCACTCTCTCACTATGACTTTGTCTCTCTCTACGCCTCTGTCTCTCCCACTCCCTCATTATGTCTTTGTCACTCTCTGACTATATCTCTGTCTCTCACTATGTCTCTGTCTCTCACAATTACACTTAAAATATTTACAAAATAATTTTAAGAGTATTTTATATTAACTTTACCTGGTTTTTCCAAGGGGATTTACATAAATTAAGGGCTATCGTTTCTGCTATATAGCAAGCTAAAATCTTAGTCCAAACTTTTCTTGAAGTTTTTCAAGTGGAAAACAAAGTGACACAAGTAACCAAAGTTAACAAGACCCAAATCTCACATTTACCTTACACTTAAATGCAACAGAAAACCCTAAAATGTCAAACACAGAGGCAGACAGACCTCTGAGTTCCAGGCTTGTCAAGGCTACACAGTAGAACTCTGTCTTAAACAACAACAAAATAAAATTACTTAACATTATTAGGATCTTAAGCAAACAAGAAATAATTGTAATCTGGAAAGGCCACTTGAGTAGTCCCTGCGAATATTGATGTATTAATTTAGTTACATAAATCGTATACTTAATAAAAATTGAGTCCTAAATGCACAAGTTTGACAATGGAGGCAGAATCTTCATAGGAAAGAGGCTGAGTGAGCCCTCTGATTTCCCAAAGCAGATCTCTGGTTAATTAGAACTACTGCCAAGTAGCCTCAAGAGGGGTGCTATTTCTCTGATACGTTCTCCACAAGATGAAGCCTACTTGTAATTCCCCATAGCATAGCTACAAGGTTTTTTAAGATTTGAAACAAAAGAAACTTGAGAGAGCAAAATGGATGGCAAGTGGTACTTACAGGCCAGGAAGGGGCGAGGACATTAAGGGCCTAATAGAGTGAATACTTGTGAGCTATTATTCATGGATAATTTACATTGGTATAGTTTTTGTATATTAATACAAGTTCAAATTATATTTGTTACTTTTGTTTACATTATTTGCACATCTATACAAAGTTATTTGTCAGATTATATATGTATGTTATTACCCCTGTTTAGGACATTTTGTAAATTGATACAACTTTTAGGATATATTTTCATATTGCATTATATATTATTCCTACCTCTGATCAAGATACTTATATATTGTTTACATTTTGAGGTCATTGTCCTCATTTGTTGCACATTTGTTTACAGGTTATTTAATATTCTGACATAAAATTTTAGTCTTTAAGTTATACGAGTATTAATTATTATAGGTCAATAGTTGTTCATGTTTGTTGTACATACGGTCAGATCAATTAGGTTCTTTAGATATATAGAGCCTGTATTCTGTTTAGATAGGTAATCTTCAACCACTTCAAGGATCTGTGGAACATGGCATTTAAATAACTTAGGGTTCTGCTGACATGAGACATGACTGCTTCTATTCCCGAGAAAATGTTGAGCACCAAAGGACACTCCACTTGGAGCTTGTTTTCTTCTTGGCAAAACTGGTCTTTGGGCAAGGGACTGATAATGCCTCAACCACTGACAAATTACATGATATCCAGAAATGGATAAGCAGGACTGTCAAATCTTGCCAAGACAGGATAAGACAGTTTTGAAAAATTTCCTGCCTCTGAAAATGGTCTGTCAGTTACCCTAGGCCTTAGCCAAAGTTGGTTGCTTCAACGTTGCAAAAAGAGACTTTGGGCGATTGCTCAGGTAGCTGATTGTCTCTGTCATATATTGTTCTCTTTGGAAGCCACCTGATTGTACTTCCTGCCTGCTCAAGTAATATTATCTCCCTTCTCAGGCCTTCTATGGGGTTGAAGATTAGATAGTTGTAGTTACTGTCCTCTTATGATCTAGCCAAGCCATTTCCAATGCAAGAGTCATGCTAACTTTACTTTTCTAGATAAGGCTACTCAGGTGTAAGCATATTGTGTTGTGATTAGATAAGCCCCTTCCAGCACTTAGAAGCCAAGCATGCTGGCACACACCTGGGACCCCAGCACTGGGAAAACAGCCAAAGAAGGAGAAGCACAACTTTGAGGGTGACATGGCTAGTCTGGACTGCATAGAAGAGATCACCCAAGAAGTTGGGAAAGACTTGACAATGGCCTGTATTGTTCAATCTCAGGCAACCATATGGACAGAACACTGTGCACTGAAGTAAGGTGAATTTGTAAGCACAGGAAAATAACCCATTTCTGACATTTGACATCCATGAGCGTGGACTTCTACACACAATGTGTATATAGGCCACACACACACCAAATGGGGGTAGGAAGGAAAAAGACATGCCTGAGAGTAAAAACGCTGAGTCCACAGTTTAGAACAAACTGTCTACAGACATTTGGATATAACAACACGCTCCATGACCTACCATTTCTTTCTCCCATCTTTTGCTGTTACGTACATAAAATTCTTCAAAACTCAGTGAACCAAGAGAACCAATTTGATTGGAGAGTATACTGGAGTCCAGACGGAGTCTCTATGAACTCAAACAGTGTCGCTACGCCATTACCTAATATTCTTTGATACTTGAGTTTTCAAACAGAAGCTGTGCTTGAAAAGACTTTCAGAATGACGACGAGTCCAAGCAGGACAGGCACAGCATCCTCGTCAACGCCAAACTGGCAGCTGCAGCAGGACCACTGGCACTGTCTTTTCAAATAGGAAAATTAATCCTATGCTCTGGTCCACAAATGCATGAAACATCCTGCAGGGGAAACAAAGAATGGTGTGTATTTACAAAGAAACGAGTAACAGGAGGGAAAAGACACTGCTACGACAATTCTGTCATTAAGAATAATACAAAGCATATGAAAAGAATATACGTTAACTTGAAAATAAACTACCAAACACCAAAATTAGGAAAAGTACGGAGAAAAATCACCCATAATCCCATTGCCCATGCTGAACACGTTAGTTAACCTTATACTGCATTACTAATCAACAAACTATTATTCTTAGTACTTCATAAAACTTTAAAAACTAGGAGTAATAATGGTATCTGCCTCATATTGTTGTGAGAATAAAATTATCACACAGAACAGTATTTGACACATAGGAGGAATGCAATGTTATTACCATTATTCTCCGAACAGAATTCTTAAACAAAATTTAGATTTCAGTGTTTATGTTTTTTTCCATGCTCACAATATCTATTCTCCCCCCCCCCATTAATATTCTTACATAACTATATGGCCACTTTATACGGTTTGGATAATAATTCATCTAAAAAGTTTTAATAAATATTTTAAAATTACTAATTGGCAATATAAAGTTCTGTATCAGTCATTTAAATTTTATTTTTTTAAACTGTTATACATCATACTGGACCAAACATTTTGGATTTTTTTTTCTTGCATTTTTCTGATTGTATCCTTAGGGTAGAACTAATACAGTTTTTTTTTTTAATTATCCAAATGTCAGTAAATACATGGTAAATTTTTCTGTTTTTTTCTATATCACAAACCAGAGGAACGTGAGAAGACTTTAAACTTATATACAGTCATGTTTAAAACTAAAAGAGAACTCTCAACAGATACAGGCTGTGAAGCCTCTGTGAGGAAATGAAACAGGAAACACTCAAGACATGCCAAGCAAAATCGTAACACAAAAGGATGACAGGAAGCCTCCCCACGAGATGAGAGCTCCGAAATACATGAAGAGGAGTATACCATGAAAATGAGAAGTAACAAGCCCATGAAACTGCTGGGGTTGTGCTGGACGAGGGTTAAATATTTCTAAGACAAATGTGAATGTATTTGATATCCTCAAAGGGCTGAGGAGATGTACAATTCCGAAAATAGCCAATGAAGTCTCATGGATATAAAAACATTTCTTCCAATAAACTGTTTAGGTGAAAACAACAAAGACTCATGGGAAAAGCCACATAGTACTCTAGAAAATCACAGTTGGCAAATTATGGGGAAAAAATAAAGTAATTAAGTGATAATGCCTAAGAATTTCTCAAAAATGGAAAACATAAGCCGCTGTCCACTGAGTGCCAAGTAGAATACACTTTTTCTGTTTTCTGAGGCAGGCTGGCCTTGAATTGGCTACTACACCAAGGGTGGCTTTGAACTTCTGATCTTCCTGAGTCCTGGATTAACCTACGTGTGCCACCACACTGGATTTACAAAGGCGCGCAGGATCCAAGCCAGGGCTATTACCTAGGTGAAAGCCTAGAACAGGCTCCGCAGCCACCACCAATCACGTAACGCTTCCGCGTACCAAAAGAAGAAACAGTTCTTAGAAACTTGAAGAAAATTCTCTTAATCAAAAAGGGGTGTGTATCAGACTGGTAATGAGACTCATCAGAAATGCAAAATGTTAAAAGGTAAATATAAATCAGGAACTGTACCTCTAGCCAAGCAAACTTTCAATTGTAAATTAAGTCTACAGGTGACTGAGGACCCCTAAGAGACACCACCCAGCTGCCTTCCAGGGTGGTTCTAGTAACTCAGCAAAGGGTGGGTGGAGACAGGGGCCCAGTTGTTCAAGGTCATCCTCAAACAACAAACTGAAGAAGCAGCTCTCACTAGGGACTGATTTACATTAGAAAAAAAAAACAATAATTAACTGGAAAACTTTGCAAAACAGAAACGTTAAGAAAAAAATTTAAACCACAGACTCCTCTTCCAGAGTTAGGACTAACAGTTCATTGGGGGATTTTTGTTTGTCTTTCGGTCAAGCTGGCCTTGAACTCTTAGGTGGACTCGTCAGCCTCTGCCTCCGGAGGGGTGGAATTAAAGGCGTGAGCCACCTCCACCAGGTTAGCAGTAAAATTGCAAATTTGGCTCTTTTCCTGTCTCGTGCTGCTTTTATCGTGTAGAAAACACATCCCCTTTTACTTAGAGCTAAGTTTCCTTTTTACTTTTCAGGCTATTCGTGTGTGTGTGGAGGGGGAGTAGGCTCTAAACTAAGAAGGCTAAGTTACCACTACCCCCTTGGTTCCTTGACAGGCTTGACATTTACGCGTGTCAGTCAGGGGTCGGGCAGGTTTTAAGTTACGCCAGGGGCTCGCATTTAACTCACACAGCAGTAATAACGGGAAAACAGCTTCTGGGGTAGAAAGCACGTCAGATCGCCTGTGGCAGCCTAGCGCGGCTAAACGTAAACAAAGCTCCCCACTTTGGTCTTCCCTCACAGAAAGAGAACCGCCCTAAGTTTCCACACGCCTGAGAGCTGTCAATCACGGACTCTGTCCCTGTCTTTACTGGTCGCGGACTGTGGGTGGGGAGCCCATCGGTGGCTCCGACGACATCAATCGACTTCAGTCGGTAAGCAATTTCATTTACTAGGGGCGTGTGCCACCTTACCTGTGGAACGGACGGATCTGCCTTTAGTCACCCTCCGAGTCCGGCTCCGGCGTTTCACGCTGCACTCCGCCGCCCACAGCCCGTTACAGCCGAGCTGCTCGGGAACCGGGCCGCCTCAGCTACCGGGACTGCGAGCCTCCCGCACGCGCAGGGACAGCCGGGCGGACCCGCAGCGCGCCCCGCACACCGCGACACCCTGACACTCCCGCCAAGAGACGTCCTCCCTTCTACCGGGGACACGCGAACCCACAGCGAGCTCCGCCGGTGCGCGGCGCCCGCCTTCCCCAGACGCTCATTGGCTACAGCTCCTGCCACTCAGTGCCCGGACGCCTCACGCGCGTCCCGTGGCCCCGAGGCGCTGGTCGGAGAGCGCCGCTCCCTGATTGGTCAGCGCCGCTTTCGGCGGGTCTCACGCTGCCTGCTGCGGCCAATCGGGCTCTCCGCAGTCTAGAGAGCGGCCTCGCTGGAGTGGCGGTGCGGCTCTTCACTCGGTAGGTGCGGGGCTGCCATCTTGTGTGTGGCTGGCAGCGGGCCTGCTGCCCTGGAAGTGTGTGTAGCGGCTGGTTCTAGGAGACCCCGCGCGGGGAGCGGACTGTCGGGAGTGATGGATGGGGCGACCTCTCTAGCAGGGGCTCTGCTCGGCCGCAGCCTCCTCCCTGGGTTTGGGTGGCGGCGGCGAGCCAAGGCTTTGGCTTGCTGCTCTTTAGAGACGTTCACGCCTTAACCTTGGTTCCGGGGTTTGCGAGAATTCTCTCGGCAGTGTTTGCGGCGGGAAGATTTCCGCCATCGATCGATCCCTCTCCTGATTGAAGGAGGTTGACTGCGGGATTCCGAATGGAAAAAGCCGGTCATGGAAGGGTGCGGGAGACGTCTCAGCAATTGATCCCCGGGGCGATAGAGAACCCTTTTTTTTTTTTTTTTTTTTTTTTTTTTTTTTTTTTTTGTCAATTGCCGGGGACCGACTGCTGAACTATTGCCCTTCTGGAGAGTTCGTGGGAGTAGCCCTTTAGACTATGGTCACATCCCTTGGTTTCAGTGGGCATCAGGTTGTGGCAGAGTTTTATTCTTAAGTGTACGGCCAACATTCTTTCAGTGGCTCAAAACGAAACAGAAACTGTTGGTCTGCAGAAACGGGAAGTGAGGGGAGAATTTCACTAATTTTTTTGTTGTGAAACAAAACTCATATACTCCAGATTCGATTCAAGCTAGGTATGTAGCTGAGGCTGGCCCTGAACTGGTCCTTCTGCCGCCACTGCCCAAGTTACGGGTTTACAGGATCGCTTCACTTAGAACCTGTCCTTGTTTCAAGTGCGTTGAAAGTTTATTGTAAATTCCTCTTTACACATTTTTTTTTTATTTTACAAACTATCATAAGAAAGCTTGCAAATAAATAAAAATAATAAATAAAAATATCACACCAAAATTAACCGAACTTCAACTCGGTACAACTCAATGAACTTCAATACAACCATAACTGGCTTTCAGATACGGAGTGGAGAAGTTTCACCTTGAATTTACACATATTGAATATGTGATAATGCACTTAGCCACAACTAAAACCAAAATATATCCAGGGCAGAGTCGTAAATTTCTGGATCTGTCATTGCTATGCCTGGTGGTTTCATCGTAGAAGACTATTATTATTATTTTTTTTTTTTTAAGGAGAATGTTTTAAGTTTGCAGTGTTCCTGGGAAGAGCAGGACACTACCCTTTCCTCTTAGATTCTTCTGCTCTTGAAAAAAAAAATTGACTCCCTCCTCTTCCCCCTTGTGAAGTAGAAAACACTTGTTGTATCTCTTGGAAGAGACTGCCAGATGTGAAATGTGAGGGACACAACTCTAGCTACTGAGGATTAAGTGGAAGGCATCCTGGGAAGCCTTTGTGTTCCTTGTTGCTTTATTTTTCTTAAAGGATAGAGGCACCCTTTCCTGGTTATCCTTTAACTCTGTGTTCACAATCTCATCTGTTCCTGTTACTTAAACTAACTTTTTAATGCAAGTAAGAGCGATATGTCAAATTTTTGCTCAAGCACTAAAAACACATTTCAGATAGTCTTGACAGATCTTAATACAAACATACTTCTTCCCTCGTGTTTTTTGTATTATCCTGATCATTGATGTGAGGAGTCTTCTGGGTGGTCAGATTTAAAATCAAATTAATCCTTTTTTATACAATAACTTGACTACAGCTGCAGTTCCTGAATGGCTTTCCTTTTATCTTTCTGCTGTTTCTCCTTCACTAAATTCAGCATTTTATTGGGTGTGACAGTCCCCAGGTCTCAGTCCCCAGGGTGACTGGGGTAGGCAGGTTCCAGTGTTGAGTCTTGTCTAGTCTTTGTAGTGAGACTCTGTCTTAGTAAAACAATTTATATGCCACTATATTCATGACAAGTCCTATAGTCCTTAGCTTGGAATTTAATTAAGATACAGTTTGGCTACTATGATAGAGATACAAAAAAGTAAATGTGGTCTTAGAGGATGAGCTTTCCCACGTAGAAGAATATTAGCTATGCAGGTGCCCATGGTGCACACAGCTGTCAGGGACCCACACTCCCACCCTTCCGACGCTCTCACCACGTGGCTCCCTTTATGAACCGATGTGGCTGCTTCGTGTCCTGTGTATGTATGTATACATACCACGTTCCTAATGGAATGATAAAATCTGTTTTGTTAGAGGACAAGTATTTGCAAATGCTAATAACCGAATTTTGTGCCTTTATTTATTTCAAGTAATTTTTACACGGTCATGCAAATTCATGTAATAATTTCATCCCTTTTGGTACCATTCATAATGGTTCTCTGAGGCTAGGTGGGTAGACTTTGTCCCCTCAAATATCATGTGTATGGCCCCTTATTTATCTGTGGACATGGAGCTTTCTTTGCTTTTCATTTGTGTTTGCAGCAGTGGTTCCCAATACTAACAAGTACATTCCTTTGGAAGTAATTGCTGCTGTTACTTGATCAGGTCTGGCTGCTCCCCACTGCTCCTCAGTGGTTCAGGAAAAGATTTGGAAAGACAGATATCAAAGAAGATGGGAAACTGCCACCAGCAAAGACCACTTAGAGAAGAATTTGGGTACAAAGAGCTTTACTAAAGAGGTAGGGAGAAGCAAGGGTCAGGAAGTCTTCATGATGAGTAGGGTTTCTATCACCCTTCTACTGGATTAGCCTTGAGGCACCAATCAACTCTTGTCTTCTTAGGCCAATTGCTGTAGTTTTTCAGGTAAAAACACATGATTTCTGAGCCAGTTCAAGATGATTTATTTTTAGTTAGAGAATGAGATTAGCAAATCCGTGATCTATTGTTGTGTGATCTTTTACTCTTTTGGCTTTTTGAGGGGCCCGCCACCCAGGTCCCAAGTAAATCACACACAGAGGTGTATTCTTAGTTATGAATGCCCGGCCTTAGCTTGGCTCGTTGCTAACCAACTTTTCTTAAATTATCCCATCTACCTTTTGCCTCTGGGCTTTTATCTTTCTTAACTTCTGTATACCCTTCTCTACTTCTTTCTCCGTGGCTGGCTGGGCACTAATGTCCTCTTCGCTCCTCATTCTCCCTCCTCCCAGAGGTCTCTTCCTCCTTATACTCTCAGCCTGGCAACCCCGCCTGTCTTTTCTCCTGCCTCGCTATTGGCCCTTCAGCTCTTTATTAAACCATCAGGTGTTTTAGACAGGCAGAGAGTCACAACTTCACAGAGTTAAACAAATGCAGTGTAAACAAAAGTCACACGCCTGAAAATAACATTCCCCAACAATCTATACTTTGATACCATCCAAAGACAGATATCCTGAGTTCTCTAAATCTAGAGAAAAGAAAGTTTTAAGATTCTGGCCTTGGAGCCTGGGTGATGGCTCAGTGAAGTGAGGTACCTGCTACCAGGCCTGAGAACAGTTCAGTTCCAGGACCTATATGGTGGGTGTAGAGAACCAGTTCGCACAAGTTGCCTTCTGAACTGCACGTGCATGGACACACACACAGTAAATGGTTTTGTTTTTAAGGACCTTAGCTGTATAAAGAACAGTGTCGCGGACTTCTTAAAAAAAAAAAGATGTCTGTCTGCAGATAGTTCCTTTGCCCAGGAATAGCTAACCTTGCAGTTAATCACTAAGCTACTAGTAGCAAGCCAGGCATGTTTTCTCATGCCTGCAATGCCGGGCTGAGGCATAAGGATCATGAGGTCCAGACCAACCGGGACTAGAAGACATAAAACAATAGAAAGTTTACGTTCCTGAAGGAAAATAGCAAGACATAGTAATTTGAGACTATTAGGAGCTCCAGCTGAGCTAGTTGGAGACTGATCAGAATCTTGCTATGTAACCCAGGTTGACAACTTCCTGAGCACTGGCATTATCAATACGTATCACCATCAGTGATTGTTTGCTTGTTTTGTGTTTGAGACTGGGGATTGTTTACTTGTTTTATTTTTGAGAGTGGGTTTTACTGTAGTCCAGACTAGGTTGGGACTTGAGTGTGTCTCTGCCTGACACATGCTGGGACTAGGACCTAACCTAACAAATCAGAATTAGTCAGGTTTTGCTTTGTTTAAAATGAAAACAGCTAAAGCGAGCAGGAGAGCTTATATATCCTTGGGTTATTGTGCCAGGCTCAGCTCTTAAGAGTTCCTTCAGCTAAGGAAGTTAAGTTAGTTAAGCCAGCTGGGATTCCTTGGGAGGAAATGCCTCTTACTAAAAGTAATGACGAATATCCTGTGTGATAAATGTCTGCTCATTTAAAGTATGTCTCACATAAAGCTTCGGTGGAGAGGCATGATAAAGACTTTCTCAGGCATTACAGTTAGGTGTCCAAATTGAGGCCCAGGAAAGCTGTTGTTTGTAACTCGATTGTGCAGTATCTTACCGCAGACTTGAGTTTATGGTTGACAGCACTGTATTGCAGTGCTAAAACGTAGGACACACTGGTGCAGAAAGTCTGTATTTTCATAGTCTTGTTTTTTTCTCGCAAGTGAGTATCAATGACAAAACCAGATAGAAAAGAACACAAAGGACGAGGAAAAACAACTTCTTTAAAAGAAAAAAAAAAAACAAAACAAGAACTTGTAAAAATGAAGGACATATGGAATCAGTGAAATTATTTTTTTTTAATTTCTAGATAAATACCTCCGGGATATAAGAAATAAAAGTCCTTAGTAACTGGTTCAGGTGGGTTTGCATCATTGGATAGGAAGCACCTTTCCAAGATGCATCAACCAAGAAGTCTGTCTTGACCTTTTCTAGGAGTGTCCTGAAGAAATTAAATCCAAGTTTTTTTTTTTTAATTTTTATTTATTTATTAAAGATTTCTGATTCTTCCCCGCCACTGCCTCCCATTTCCCTCCCCCTCCCCCAATCAAGCCCCCCTCCCTCGTCAGCCCAAAGAGCAATCAAATTTCCCTGCCCTGTGGGAAATCCAAGGACCACCCACCTCCATCCAGGCCTAGTAAGGTGAGCATCCAAACTGCCTAGGCTCCCACAAAGCCAGTTCGTGCAGTAG